CCTCGAGAGCTTCCTTCACTAAGCCCTCCCCCCTGACAGCATTGCCTCTCCGCCCCGCTCTTCAAACGCTCGTGATGAGATTACTTCCCTTCTGGATGCGTCGGACGCAGCGCCTCGTTAGTACCCCCCACCCACCCACTGCCCCCTACCACGTTCCTGGAGCGCCCCTTGACTCTCAACTCAGGCGAGGCTCTCCAGTGCCCTCGCTCCACCGTTACCAAAATCATTCCCATCCTCAGGTGACGCGCCGTTCGGCTGCCGCAAGTGCTGCACCTGCACAGAGCCCGTGTGCCGTTCCTTCTCGGCTTGCCGTGATGCTTCTTGTTGTCGTGTTGTTGTTGTTGTCGTCGTCGTTTTATTCGCTCGATCGTCGCGGTCACCCCCCCCCCCCCCCGCTCGACGTCTTCGCATCCGGCAGGCCCTAGCCCCCTGGTTGGACGTGAAGAGATCCTCCACCGGAGGTCGTTCTTTTATTTGCCGAATTCAAAACGCGCCCGCGAATGACGGGCGCGTTGTAACCCGGCGCCTTCGTGCTCACTTGGTGCTGGAGGGACAGCGCGAATGCCAACCGCGCCCGCTCGTTATTATCGTCGTCTTCTAAAATTACGCTTCTGAGAAATGTTAAACCGGTTGATCCCGTGCCGGCTTGAGTTCTTTCAACGGGCGACGTTCGAATTGCTTCGACTCGGCCCCCCGGTATTTTTATCGCGGTTGGATTAAATTAATGATTTGTTTCATTCGCATATCGAACTTTTCGCCCCGGCATATTGAAACCTTCAAAACCAACCAAATTACTGTCGCCTCCACCCCCCCTCCCCCCCCCCCCCCCATATTTTCTCTCTCCGAATGGCACAAAAGGTGGCTTCATCAGAAAACCCCCTAACGCATTATTCTATCATCGGTGCCTACGCGTGGACATTGAACTGGAGTCGGTGGCAGTGAGTGACCTTGGTCGACTGCCTTCCCTACAACGACATTGGGAAGGACAGAACACTCCCTCCTCCATAAGTAGTGACGTGGGGGGGAAGGCAGCAGAAGTCGCCTAAATTGTCACTGCCGTGACGTTAGAGGCGTCGCTCGCATTGTGTGGCACAGAACCGTGGGCAAGGTCTACGGGTGTCGATGTTAGTCAAAAGCCTACGGGGGTCTCTTCAGAGTATAGGGGGGAGGGGGGGGGGTCTCCGTGCACGTGTCCAATTGTGAGTGTGCTCGACCACAATCCATCGCGAGCGTGTATGTGCGCAGATCTCCTTTGACACCGTCACGTAGCCAACCGCGCAAGTCGGATGTGTGGGGGCAGTAAGTCCTCCGTGTGAGTCTCAGGGGCCTCCGCTGGAGTCGGCGAGGTTCTGTGTAAGTCTACGGGGGGGAGAGTTTCCACCCGCGAATTACAACACACGCTTCTGCAGGAGGTGCATATGGAATCCAAATTGCCACCCCCAGAAAAACCGCCAACTCATGGCTTGCCAAACTTAACGTTCGCAGCTTTTTTTTTTATGAATATATAAAATTTGAAAACCAAATCAGTGGATTGCTTCACTATTCTGGCAAATCGCCCGATGATGCTGGATGATATTACCAAATTGTAAACGTTGTGGATTTACTCTCCAACACACCGGTGGGCTGTAGTAGTAACTAATCGGCGCGTTGTTCACGTGACAAACCTTACTGGCTGTCGGGTGGTGGAGGGTCACGACACAAAATTTATATTTACGCGATCCAACCCCAAAACCTTGTATCGTGAAAATGTAGCGGGGTTGCGATTCAAATGCCAAGACGCTCAATCCCCCTCCGACTCCCGCCATCTGTCCCGACGCGCAGCGGCTCGACGAGTCTCCCGTGGTGGGGCTTTCGCGACCAATATCATCCATAAGAGGTTTCTTTGGGTTAGATCGCTGTAAATGTATAAATGTGTCATTAAAACCCGCCACCACCCTGATGAAGCTAGTTGTAATTACTGGCGAAACGTCGTACTCGGTTTGTAAACGTTGTGGCTTGGCTCTCCAACACACCGGTGTGCAGTACTAGTGACGAATTGGCCACGTCCCGTTAACGTGACAACCCATTACTAGTTGGCTGTGTCAGGTGATGGAGGGTTTTAACGACACAACATTTATATATTTACTGCGATCTAACCCAAAACAACCTCTACAAAAGGGGGCGATAAATTGACGCGACGTTCCTCGGGGAACCAATTGGCAGGTTTTTTGTTTGTTTGTTCGTGCGCCCAATTCAAACGAAATTAAAACGTCTTCTCTTTCCTTTTCTCCAATCCACGACCGCGGGGTCCGTGCGCCGCACTTCATTCCGCTCGTCGCTATCATCATTCTCAATCTTCTCCCCCTTTCGTTCCCGCATCCGCTCCCACAATACCGATCCATCCCCCTAATGTGCCCATTCGCTAACAATAAAAAAAAACAACCTCGGTTCTTTCAGCCAAAACGCTCGGCTCGAGTGCTTCCGCGAGCGGTATCGGGCTGACGGTTGTTTGCAGAGCCTTCGCAATCACCTGTTACGCGGTTATCATGAATTACTTTCCGTCGACTTTCAGTGCATCCCTCCCTTTGTGTACACATTCTAGCATTGGGCGAATCACTTCGTCTCCCTTCCTTCTCTTCCCCCTTCAAGCAGCCGTCGATCCTCTCTTGCTGGCATTCCATCCACACCGTCTCGGTGGCGAGATGTTAACCGCCTTGCCTGGTATACAGGAGTTCGTGGCATCGTTGCCGACCCTGACGCCTGCTGTATATTTTGAGTCTTCGTGTCTCTCTCTCCCCCCGTGGTCGCATGGATTCTTCTCCACGTCCTCCAGTTCCCCACCCCCCCCCACACACATTTAGAAACTGGCGTTTCAGAGTATTTGGCCGCGATAAATGTCCACGTGACAAGCCGCTGTGTTGAGCTGTCATTTGTGGCCAGGTCGCTTCTGAAAAAGACCTCTTTCGCTCAGTGGGCATTACCTGGTAAAATAAAACGGGTGTTTTTTTTTCAAATCTTCCGATTTCTCTTACCACCTCACTCGGGCATGCTATGCCCAAAATTATAATCTCCAACTTCTCGTCTCCATCTCCCGTTCCTTTATTTAAACTCATGCAGCTCCACAATCTCTCTCTGCATATTATCTTTATATCGTTGGATTATATTCACTATGTAACAAGATTTTTCTTCCTGGGTAGTGTTATTTTCTAATTGCTTATGTTTCAAACGTATAAAAAAAATGGCTATTTTTATTCCCCACAAACTTTGCTTTTGTGACCAGGACTTTATGTGAAGGAATGACACAAATGCACGTTTTCTCATTGAAAATAGGTAAATTTCGAAATCATTTTTCAAATTTTCTTGCTGTGGTTCACACCTGATGATGATTGCTTGTGTTGGACGTCGAAACGTCGTGATCATTTTAGTGTTTTGTATTTTTATAATTTTATTGTTTCCCTTCTACGTGACTTTACCGAAAGAACCAAGAATATAATATTGGACTCGTGCCCGTCTACTCGCTGACCGCGGGGCTCGACACACACAGCACACTCAAGTCCCCATACACGATGAGGCGCTTCTTAACCAGATACATTATTGATCCTTTTTTTTTAAGTGAACGTACCCATAATTGGGATGCCCACACCGATGAGGATCTCTTCGGAGAAACCGCTTTGATAGCCGTGTCGGAACTGCGTACCTCCCCGCATGAGCGAAGACGCATCGATGGGAGTCAGATCCAGAGATAGATCCCGGCCAGAATGGTGGTCGGTTGGTTCCGGTGTGACTTGGTGCTCGTGTTGTTGATGCAGCTGTGATTGTATTTGCTTGTGTGCGATGATGGCAGATGGTGCGATTTATGCTTTCGTTTTTTTATGGTGTCGTCGTTCAAGCAAATTGCCTCTCAAGATCGACGATGCAATGAGTCGGAAGGCAGCAGCCAGCAGCCAAAGCAGGCGCCAACAAAGATCCGCAGTCCTTCATGTATTCACGATGTTTTCAGCCAATGAATATTTGTACGTGTGTGGAAATAAACCAGAGCACCCGGAAAAAAACACAAGTGCAAGGGAGCAACATACTATCCCACACAAAAAGGGGCAGGCGAGTCCACACACACACACACTGCTGTACCCGGCGTCTTCCGTCAAGCCCGCGTATGGGAATCTCGATGCCCACGGGGAGTTTCACAACATTTTGTGCAATCCATCAACCCTCGGCTCCAGTGCTGGATTTCCAGGCGTGGGTGGCCATCGCTGATCATTGCTTGGTGGGACTGATTTGGCGGTTCTGCTGATTGGTGCTGTGAATGATTGGTCGGTTCTGATGATTGATGATAATGTGACTATGATTATACTTATGTATATAGGACTTCTTTCGCGACGTGTAAATCGGGACGTGCGGGGGGGGGGGGGGGGGGGCGCAACTAACAACAAAAATCAGTTCTAAAGAAATTAGTTTTCGATTTAGACCAGTGTTGATGCGACTGAAATCGGTTGGTGTTAGTGCGATTGGTGCTAGTGTGAAGATGATTGGTTGTCCAGGCGTGATAAATGTTCACTGGCAACCGTTAACCCTTTCTCTCGTTCCGAGACACCTGCAAGTTGCAGGGTGTGGGTTCCCGTTCACCTCGGAATATCGGAAACGTGCGAGCGACTCGGCCTCAAAATGTTAGTCGGTAGCGCCGTTGTTTTTAAAAACATTGTACTCACCGCAGACAACTGCAGCGACACGACCACACTCATAGCTGGCGCCAAGCTGTGCCACACGCCCTCCCGCACGGCCAGATTCCTTTTGATGACATACGTATGTACAGGTATGTACATTTTTGGAGGGTTTGCAGACAATGAGGAGAAAAGCCCACAATCTTCTTCGCAACGACAGGGCGCAAGTGCGACAGGTGAGTTGGCAGGGATGACCTTGAAACGAGGGGTGGAAAGAATAGAAGCCAAATGCAACTCTGCATTCATGCCCACCCGATGTGATTTGCCCGACGACGCAATTTCACTACGCTCGGCAGCATGGGGCTGTGAGAAAATGAGATTTATTTTAAATTTTTAACAACTACTGGCATTTCAATGGAGAAGTGTCGCAATTTCAACATTTAATGAAGTAGCAATTTCAAACAAAAAACAAAACTTATTTCACTTTTCAACCCACGTAACGGTATTTGTTTAAAAAAAAAAAACCTCCGGAGCTATTTCAAGTTCCTTTTTCATAACAGTGAATGGTGAAAAAAACATTTCTGGAATCTTATCCGGTACGCTCAGGGAAACCAACTGACAAAAAAAAACCCGCACCAAGCCAAAGGTGGATTATTTCTCGCTCTCTTGCAATTCACCATTAAAATTCCAAAGGCGAAGGTCCAGCAAGACACTCACTCGCAAAAGAGGCTCTCCTTTAGAGCAGTAACTCTATCAGATGGGAGCAATACGTTTGCCGGCTAATATTCACAAGCGCAACGGACCGATTGATTTGTGAAACGTTATCAGCGCCTTAAACAAGCGAGGCTTCAACTCCGTCCCCCCCCCGCCCCATCCTTTCAAGTAACACGAGATTAAGAAAGAAAAGCTTCACTTGGGGGCTTGGGGGAGAAGACCTGTCCCGTTTTTGTCGACACTAATAAAGAAAAATATTAGACGGCTCGTCATCGTTGTTCAGCCGAGCGCAAACCCCCTCCCCCCTTCCCCCTAGGAAAAACACCGCTGCGACTCGCGCACACACGTTTACACACACCGGCCAATCCCACACCGGAGCCCTCGGGCAATTCCCACCGCCGATGCCGCTGGGTATCGTCGAGCGCACGCCGGTGCGGGCGGCCGCGCTCCCGCGCAGTTCGGCGAGGATCGTCCGGCGGTGGGGGACGACGCAGGCGGTCGCGGCGAGCTCACCGGCGCGGCCCCCCGCGGCCCCTTCCTCTGCCGCCCCGACCTCGCCCTCGACCCCGACCCCGGCCGCGGCCGACGGCTGCACGCGCGGAAACCACACACGCGCACGCGCGCAGGCGAGCAGATCGGCAAACGAAATTGGTTAGAAACAGGTTGAGAGGTGCGTGCAAACTTGCGCACAAAAGGACACTTTAGAGCAAATGCACGGCCGCACATGCGCACACACACAAAGACAAATATCCTCCACATAGCCTGTAACAACAGACTGTTGGGGCAAATGCTGTTAGCTAGCACCTATGAAGGCTGACACGGCACACGAGGGGGTGGGTGGCTAGCACCACACCTGGCTGCCTTTGTCTCCCTAGTGCCGATGTTTTTATACGTCGCACTAGGTACTAACTTGAGGCCGAGTCGACCTAGGGGAGGCCCAGGACAGGTTCAGATAATCGTTACTGGTGTTGGCCGTGAGCGCTAATCGAACCAGGGTCACCGGGTTTGTAGCGCAGCGCGCTAACCACTACACTCCCACTCCATACAAAGACACACGCATAAACAAGCACACGTGTGTACACAACCGTAGAGATAAGCAAACATATGGCACACACACACAAACAGGGACACACAAACGTATGTGCAAATAGATACAACCACAAAGACACGAAATAAACAGCAGATTAAAATAACCGCGTGGACGCGGAACCCAAACCAACACACGGGCGCGAGTGTGCACGCAACAAAGACAAAAATCACCGGCAAGCACACACACACACACACAACCGCATGACACATGATACACACCCACACGACAACACGCAGCGGTTAAAGAAGGCAAGGCAGCGAGATTTGCACAGGCAGGAAGGGCAAGAGAGCGCCAGGTCTGCCCATTGATTGAAGCGCACGTGCCACGTTTGCCAAGCCCTGCTATTCCCTAGGCTTCACCGCTAAATTCTCGCCTGCCGAGTCTTTAAGGTCATCTTTAAGAGTTCTCGGTGGGGGATGCTCGCTAGTTTGTGCCCGAGACCCCCACCCCACCGAAACGCGCCAGCCCCGCACAAGCTGCGTGGTCTGAAGTGGCACGCAGTCATTTACGTCGCGGTAATCTGCAGACGGGAGCAGTAGAATCAGCAAGCGAGTGCGCCAGGGGCTGGGTGGAAATCGTTGCGTCGCAGGATCGCGAGAGATGGCATCCACCAGAGCCCATGAGTTGGTACCGATGAGTAGGAAGGAGCCTCCGAGATAGTGCCAGTGTGCATGCGTCCGTGCACTGGTGCCCGCACGTTAACACCCGACGCCAGTACCCATACATCAATAACTCCTGTTCACGACCTTGGTGAGTGGGCAGTATACGAGTGCCCGTATGCGACTTCCTGTCCCGCTGGCAGCAGTCCACGATGCCTCCCCCTCCATCCCTCTGACCCTGCGTACTTGCTCACCGACTGCCCTTGCTGCAAACCGAGGCTCAACGCCCTCCTCTCATACTCTGGCCCACGACTGTCTCTGCTATTCAATACATAAACCGTATAGAGCAGGGGTCACCAAACTTTTTTCACAGCGGGCCGGATAACTGATAGAATGACGAGCGCGGGCCGCATAATCATTCTGTTCAATACTTGGGGGCGGGAAAGATGCGTATTTGTGTGTGTTGCCATGGAAACCATGGTAACGTCAGAGCGTAGGCTCTGACGGCGGGCCTTATGGACCGACGTCGCGGGCCGGATCCGGCCCGCGGGCCGTAGTTTGGTGACCCCTGGTATAGAGGTACGGGTACACGACACACTGTTTAATAAATCGAACATATTTTTGGTACATACCTCCCCTTGTTGTCCTCCCATCCCCAACCACCCCACTGCCGTGGTCCACTACTCTCACTACCACCGTGTTTACCGTTCCCATCAACTGTATTCATTGATTCCTCCACACCCATGGTGAAGACTCGGGATCTACCACTCTCAAGACTGCAGATGACAACAATACCCTCACCCGAGTCACTTTTCTTTCTGCTTCTTCCCTCTCACACTGCACCAATCTGGAATTCCCTCCTCTCATACCCCCCCCCCCCCCAAAGCTCTAATAACAACCTCGTTCAATGCAAGGAACACGTTACACTCCTCTGTCGCTTGCAGCGTCAACGGAAGTGCCGTTTGCTGCTGGCAGCTTAAGGTTTTTAGGGCCCGTGCTTTCCAACCGTTTTCAAAAAACATAAGTACACTAAAGCACAGTATTCCCTCGTCAATCGCGGACTTGCCATCCGTGATTTTGGCTATCCGCGAATCGCATCTGGAACTCTATACCACGACTACTGCATCGAGAGAAAGTGATGCGTGAAAGCGATGGGTGAAAGCGATGAGATACAGTGATGAGATAGTGTTGAGCTAAAGCAGGGGTCACCAAACTTTTTTGACAGTGGGCTGGCCGGATAACTGAAAGAATGACGAGCGTGGGCCGCATAATAAATAAATATTTCTGGAGCGTCGGACCTGTGTTGACAAGCTGGCAAATCTTGGGGCGGGAAAGATGCGTGTTTGTGTGCGTTGCCATGGATACCATGGTAACGTGTTGCCATGACGTTGCCATGGAAACCATGGTAACGTCAGAGCGTAGGCGGAGCTACCACGAGCCGGGGAAGTACTTGGTATGGCGCGAAATAAGCAAACGTCACAATAAACAAGAAAATCTAGATACAATACTTTAAAATAGTAAATTTAAGGAACATAGCAGTCAGGAGGTCTCCGCACGCGTGAAGATCTCCTAGTATTCTAAACATATTATTTAAATTTAAATTGCATCACAACGTCCCGTGTTCCATACGTTTTTATCAACCAAATTCAAGTACCGTCGGCGGGCCTGATGGACTGACGTCGCGGGCCGGATTTGGCCCGCGGGCCGTAGTTTGGCGACCCCTGAGTTAAAGTGATGAGATAAAGGAGTCAATTTACATGTATTTAATAGCTATTCGTAGGCCAATATCATTAGCCGTGAAATATGATACTCACAAGCATCTCCGGAACGTGACCCTCACGAATAACGGGGAAATACTGTATTTTCATTTTACCAGGGAAGGCCCACCGAGCTATATAGCAATTATTTTTAAGCAATCTGGCAAGAAACGATAGCTCAACAAAGCGGCTTATCATCACGTGGAACTTTATAGCAGCATAAACTCTCTAAATGCATGTTCATTATAAATGTTGAGGGAAAAACGGGAAGACTCGGGACAAAAATCCACGCGATCACGCAGAGAGAGAGGTTAACTACCTGGCCTGGTATACAGGAGGTCATGGGTTCGATCCCAACCCCGACGCCTGTTGTGTGTGCATGTGCTGCCTGTAGTTGCATGGATTTTTTCCGGGTACCTCCGGTTTTTCCCTCCACGTTTGGAATCAATATGCCTTTTGAGTAGGTATGTACATATGTATGTAGAACTTCTTTCGCACTGTACGTAGCCGCTAACCATGCTAATCAGAAGTGCGGGGGAAGGACAACAAACTATGGGTCTCTGTGCGAGTTTATGGCTCTTTGTGCAAGTCTATGGATCTCTGTGAGAGTCCACGGGTCTCTGTGTGAGTCCATGGGTCTCTGTGCGAGTCCATGGGTCTCTGTGCAAGTCTATGGATCTCTGTGCGAGTCCATGGGTCTCTGTGCAAGTCTATGGATCTCTGTGCAAGTCTATGGATCTCTGTGAGTGTCCACGGGTCTCTGTGCGAGTCCATGGGTCTCTGTGCAAGTCTATGGATCTCTGTGCGAGTCCATGGGTCTCTGTGCAAGTCTATGGATCTCTGTGCAAGTCTATGGATCTCTGTGAGTGTCCACGGGTCTCTGTGCGAGTCCATGGGTCTCTGTGCGAGTCCACGGGTCTCTGTGCGAGTCCACGGGTCTCCGTGCGAGTCCACGGGTCTCCGTGCGAGTCCACGGGTCTCTGTGCGAGTCCACGGGTCTCTGTGCGAGTCCACGGGTCTCTGTGCGAGTCCACGGGTCTCGGTGCGAGTCCTATGGGTCTCGGTGCGAATCTATGATGCACGTGTGTACGCTGAACTTCTTTCGCGCCATACGTAGCCGCCAACCGTGCTAACCGCGAGGCAAGTCGCCGTGCGAGTCGTACCGGCTTCCCGCTTGCGCGCCTTCGCCTTGGGGCCATCGTCGACGAGCAGGGTGTCGAGCGGCAGGCTGTCGGGCAAGATGTAGTAGCGGATGTTGTTGCCGCGGATGCTCAGCGAGTCCAGGGTCACCGGCTCGCGGTTCTTCACGGTCAGCTTGACGGCCTTCAGGTGCGTGTTCATGCTGATGTCCACGCCTGCAACCGCACGCACAAAAGACAAAGATTCCCCCGTGTAGCCTTAACAAAATGCAACTATGAAGGCCGGCATGGCACACGAGGGGGTAAGGGGGGCCAGCACCACCCCCGGCCGCCTTTGTCTCCCAGTCGCAATATTTTACACACGGCACTGGGTACTTATTTGAGGCCGAGTCGACCTAGGGGAGGCCCAGGACCGGTTCAGATGCTGTCCGCCAGCGGGTATTGAGCTCCACTACTGCTCCCCACGGGCGCGCGCACACGTACACATGTGCACACGTGGACGGAGTTAAGGCTGTGTTTCTCAAATGACAAGTCCTCGTGAACGTGGTTAAATGTCAGCCAGATCTGTCTGGGTCGGCGATGCAGACAATATTTTCGCACCCGGCATACGGCATCCAGTACATCTTCTCTCGCTGTGGCTTTGACTACTAGTTGCGTGCCACCTACTCCAGTCCATCAGCGACCGGGAACAATTATTTCCCGCACCTGGCATACCAGGACCAGTATTAACCTCCTCTTGCTAGAGCCGAGGCTAATAATGACCCGTCCACCCCAGTCTACGGTTTACTGGGACATCAATCGGCGAGGAATTAACGCCTGACCGTGCGTGACACAGCACGGCATGATTTTCCATCCTTGTTAATTGTCATACAAACACAAATGAAGTTATGCACTGCACGTGCTCGTTGACTGCTCAATATCTGACAGCACCGATCAAAATGAAGATGCCGTGTGTGCGTGTGTGTAAACGTACGCGTCCCATGCACTGTAAGAGCGATCTTAATTTGAACTGTGAAAAAGGGTCATTGCCCAAAACATTGCCTCTTATTATTTCAAGGCCACAAAGTGTTATCAACAAATGTGTTCGAGTTTTTTTTGTTTTATACCTGTGCTTGTTGCAATACCGCCAATACAACAGTATTACCGAATAATGTTGCAATTCAATTAGCACTCTGTACAGGTGTACGTACATGCGACACGTTTAGCAATCATCGGGTGTGTTGCAGCAGTCGATTATTGCGCAATGCAATGCGTGTAAAACTGCGAGCTTAAGGAGGAATATAAAAAAAAAAATCCATGCATCGCTCCACCCCTAAATCTGTAGTCCATGCTCCGGCTACCCGACAGGCATGAAAATCAATGCTACTTAACTGCAATGCAGCCCATCTTGCACATCTTGCAAATCTCACAATGTAGCCAACATACGTGAGTCAGGATACTGTCACTCTTACAGCAAAACACAAACACCCGTGGCATTCCAACCTTCGCACACTCACGATGATGAAGTATGCCAATCCCTGTCACCTCCCCCGTCTCTTAGATTCTCCACCTTCGAAATAAAATAATGTTAAAAGCCGCCTATTCCCCACGACCTCATTATGTGTCCTCCTTCGTGTACAACATTTTGAGATGCAGTCATTCTGGGGCGCTGCAGTGGTGAGATGTTAACTACCTCGCCTGGTATGCAGGTCTTGGGTTCGATCCCAACCCGGACGCGTGGTATATTTGGAGTTTGCATGTTCTCCCTGTGGCCGGTGGATTTTTTAACCCGGTCCTCCAGTTTTTGCCCTCCATATTGAGAAACTCGCGTTCAAGAGTATTTTCCTGCTATAAATGTCCACAAGCCACTTCGTTGAGCTGTCATTTGTGGCCAAATCGCCCCTGAAAGAGCTATAAAGCTTAGTGGGCCTTATCTGGTAAAATAATAGTATAGTTTGAGTTTAGCAATGCTTTCTAAATCCTGAATGTCGCGTACGATTAACTGTGAACACTCGCGTGTACCAACGTGGTCATATGCCACTGCGAGACAGTCAAAACATGCAAACTATTCACACGGCCCTTTCTCAGTCGGTAAAGGCAGTTGGGGGCCCAGGAGAAAGTTCGGACATCATTCGCCAATGACGTTAGGCATGAAAGAGAAACGAACCGCAGCTGCCTGGCTCATGGTGCAGTGCGCGAGGCACCAGCGCCACCGCTCCATTCAAAACGTGAGCCCGTTCGTAATTGCGAGGAGGGGGGAGCTGGAGGGGTGCGTCGAATATTTCCGTGTGCCAACGCCGCCCTCGCAAAAGATTAACGCTGCTTCACCGCCGCCCACGTGCGCGCGCATGCACGCACGCACGCCACTCTCAGTGCATTGTTTATGGAGTTGCCCGGGGAGAGCGACATCTTTTCTCTACGGTTCAATAGCTCAGAGAGTTAAAAAGCCTGCAAGAGCACATGGCTGCTGGCCACGTGGCCCCCGCACGGTGAGAGGAGCTCTGCAGAGCCAGTAGGCAATTAAAATAGGGAACGTGTCACTTATCCGCCGTCTCATTGCGCAATTGCGATTTTTTTTTTTTTCAGGGGGCGCGCGGGGCCGTAAAAGATTTCAATCATTGCGGGGCGTTTATGAACGCTCGCACATAATTAATGCACATTCAAGCCTCTCCGTCACTTTTACTCGGCAATTAACGAGTCACATTCCCATTCACAGCCAGTGCCGTGTACGCAGGCGGGCGGCAAGTGCGAGTAGGGGCGGGGGAATAAATGGGGGAGATGTTTAAAAAACTGTGCTGTGTTGTGAGTTCCATTTTGCCTGGTCGGGGATGCCTTTGTTGGGCTCTCGAGTGTTTGGCATTTCTGCTGAATCTAAAGAAACTGACGAACAACAATTCCCAGACGCGGCTCATAAAAGGCGGCTAAAGATGCACAGCGGGTCCAATAGACAGCTTCAAAGCCCATCAGCAGGAAAACAGCTGATCGCACACGAAACAGCCTCATTTTCACTACAGATAGAAACCGGCTGAAAATCCTTGATTTAATTTTTTCTGAAGACGCGAGGAAAATTCTCGCAAATCTCCCCCACCCAAAAAGAAGCGCATGGCAGGCACAGTGGCGGCAGCGACTACGGAAAAAGACAGAAATTCGCCGTGGCCTTTCACGCGAGAGGGCGGAGAGATGTCCCACATTACAACGGACGTGGCCGACTGATGATTAATGTGGTTCCGCCGCTTCAAAGAAGCAAGCGGTATTGAAAACCTCTTTCCAGACACGGCTGTGTGAAAACAAAAGGCCAACTTAATCCGCCCGGTGTCACGGCCAAGGTTGTTATTTCACAGCCGGTGCAGGGTTAAGCCTGCAGCCGATGGCGCTCGCTTGTTATCGCGAGGCGCCGACTGCAGGACCCCTTGCCTGTCGCTGCTTGCGCAGGGAGGTGGGGGTGGGCGTGCGTCACGGCGCGCGGGCGTAGCAAATGTCGCGCGGACGTTAGCTTACGGTGGTGTGCATGGCGGGGGAAAGGAATTAATACGCAGATTTACAAAATAACTGGTGCTTGCTTCTTTTTTACGATCTCACTGCAGCACGTTCTCGGTTCAGCGAGTTTAATATTTCATTTCGTCTTCTTTGCCCCAATTATATTCCAATTGTGCCACCACTGTCAGGTCATTAGTCTAAGAAGTTTCCATTTGGAACACTCGCCGACTGCAGTGTAGCATCAACGAAGGGTGACCTACTTTTGAAATCCCTTCAATCGGTCTCTTATCCTTAGGTTTGTTATCCGTACAAGGTGGTGCATGTTTTATCTGCCCTGCAAAAAGTGTTCACCACAGGGCAAGCAAACCCCAAATGGTTGGTCCTCAGATCTTGTGTAGATCCAGAATAAGGTCAAAAAAACAAATAAAAAAATTCTACAGTCATTGGTTACTGGGCTAAGGCCATCACCTTGTCTCAAGTGAGAAGCTGGTTTAATCACACAACGCAAAATAATCATTAACACTGCCGTGGAGAATGTAAGAAACAAAATAATTAAGCAGATATTAGAGGCCTCCTCATTTCACACATCTGTCCCTGCATATCATCATCGGCAGTTCAAAACTGGATTCGAACCCAGGACATGAGTGGTGTTTGACTCAGGTTGCCTGTCTGGCCATTATAGCCCTCAGCCACCTCAAGGGAGCAGGCTTTCCTAGGGGTCATGTGTAATGGCACACAAGTATGGGCACACGGGGCCAGAGGTAGTATATTGTTATTTAGAAACCGTGCACGTCTTTACTTTTTTTACAAGGTCGACGGGAGAAGACTTTGCTTCGTCGTCTCGCGATGCCCTATTAATAACACGAGCACCGCAACACTTAAAAAATGTACAAATGAAAATTTACAAGTGAAGACAGAGGACAATAAATGATTCAAAACAACTTCTTTTGCAGTGCCAAATTTCACCAAGCAGCGAATAAAACACGCAAATTCACTCTTTCATTCACTTCGTGCACAGAATCCAATTACGTAAATGAAATGCCAGAGGTTGAAATAAAATAAAAAAGTATCGACGTCTCAATATTACAATCCACCCCTGATAAACCAAGTGCAAGTTGCATGAAAAACACGCAGAGCACTCAACTACCCGAAAGCACCACTTCAGATGACATTTAATATTAGCACGGGCCGAGGAATTTTGCACTCGCTGCGTTTTTAACTTCCAGTCACGCAATCGCAAATGGCTGTATGTTATACTGTACGCCGGCCACATATTTTGTTTACGCACAGCAGTAAGTATCATGAGCCTCCATAACGATAAACAGTGCAGAGGGTAAAAAAAAAAACTTGCCCATGTGTAAATCCCAAAGTTTACGAGAGGACTTTCGCGTAGTCGGATATGGACAGTAAATGTGAAAACTGGCTGCCACTTTCATAAAAGTGCAAAATTCTGAAACATTATTGAGAGCCTTTATAACCGTGACTAATACTAAAGTGTGGCTGACATGAGACCTTGAGAAAATGACTAGTGGGCTACGTCAGATGCATCACTTTTTTTTGTAAAAAAAATAAGTGCAGCAGGGTGTGTGTTCTCCTGATCGCCAAATTTCCAGGGTTCCTGACTCAACATTCACAGAAGCAATGTCGCACCGATGCCAATACTATTCTGCAGAATCGTCCGTCACCTGTTTCTCAACAACATCGTGTCTCGGTCTTATCCAACAGTCTGTGGCATCGCTCAAATGCACCCCCATGGCCTCTCACTTTCTGCCATCACTGCATTCCCCATCTCACACAACCTTTCACTTCTGCACGACGAATTATCACTCCACGTCTAACACAGCTGCGCTGTGGTCTCAGCCATTCTTCCCCTTTCTTCATCCCACTTTTTCACCCAAATTTTTTAAAGCAAATATATCTCCGCTTTTTCCCTATGCATATACTCTCATGATATTAAACATGCCCTTTCCTAAGTCACTCATCTACTTCCGACCCTCAATGTAAATCGTCCACATTTCTTCGGGATGCATTTCAGGGGGTTGTGATTTATTAAAACAAAACATAGTTTTTTACTCCAGTTTGTATTGTCTTGTTTGTCTAGTCCAAGGAAAACAAGTAAATATATAAACTGCATTTATGGAAAATTATTCATTCTTACACATACACACAGTGGATGCATCGTGATAAGAATCTTACTGAATTTAAATGCCTCGGCCCCAACACTTTTGGGATTTAAAGGGTCTTATTTTAAAAAAAAATATTTAATTTTTAGCGTTCGCAACAACCTCTTTGTGCACCGAGTGTGGCCGAGCGGGAGAAGAGTGATCAAGTGCAGGTACAAGACATTCAGTTTATCACGTAGTAGGCTTTTGCGACCAACATCATCCATAAGGTTTTTTTTGGGTTAGATCGCGTTAATGTGTTGTTAAACCCGCCACCACCCGACACAGCCAATTAGTAAGGATGTCACGTTAACAGAAAATGCCAATTCGTTACTAGTACAGCACACCGTTGTGTTGAAGAGTAAGTCCACAACTGGTTTTCATTCATTGACATTCACCGGTTTCCTCTATTCTAACAGCCTCTCTCTTATAATATAAATATGCTCAGCGTGTCTGTCAGGGCTGTGTAAATACATGGTGCGTTTGAATGTCACGTGACAACCCATTATATATAAGATGTATGTTTAAAAAATGTACAGTTCATTTGTCAATCCATTGCTGAATGAAGGCTTTACCACGCTGTTGTTTGTCATGGGGCTTATTTGACAATACTTCCTCACCATGCTAGTTGGTTAACCTGATAGTAGATTTTTTTGCATGTGATCATGAATAACACTAAAATACCAAAATTAACAACTCTCATTTCACTACTTTGTGGATTTATACAGCATTATTATTATTACTCACCTGTGACCGTGCCATGCACCTGGGTACCGTTCTTCAGCTCAATGGTCACCGTCTCGTGGCTCAGCTTCATGAGGAACCTGCGGGTGACATTGCAACACCTCGTCAGACCCACACCACAGCGGCACATCACACCACGCCGAAAGATCTTACCACTACCAGCCCCGTACCAACACGTGGCGAGATGTTATCCCCTTGGCCTGGATATACAGGTCGTGGGTTCCATCTCGACCCTGATGCTTGTATATTTGGAGTTTGCATGTTCTCTCTCTCCCTCCTCGTGGTCGCGTGGATCTTTCTCCGCGTCTACAGGTTTTTTCCTCCACATTTAGAAACATACAATTTCATTAACACGGAAGCTTGCGACCAATATCATCCATAAGTTTTTTTTGGGGTTTGATCGCGTAACTATAAATGTGTCGTTAAACCAGAGGATTTCTTCACAAATCTGGCTTTCGCCTGAGGATAGTTGTAATTACTGTCGAAATGTCGTACTCAGATTGTAAATGGCGTGGATTTGCTCTCCAACACACCGGTGTGCTGTACGAGTAACGAATTGGCACGTTTGTTTACGTGACAAACCTTACTAATTGGCTGTGGCAAGTGGTGGCGAGTTTAAGGACACATTTATAGTTATGCGATTTAACCCAACAAACCTATATGATATACGATTTGATTATTTGGCTGCTATAAATATCCACAAGCCACTTCGTTAAGCTATCATTTGTGGCTAGGTCCCCACTGAAAAAACAGCTAATAGCTCAGTGGGCTTTGCCTAGTAAATAAAATAACGGTTATATATACAGTATCACCAAACCAGCACAATAGGGGCCATCCATTTAGTACGTACGTATGGAGGGGGGGGTTAACCCAAATGCGTATGCTTGCGTAAGACGGCGGCCCAGCAGACTGCAGCTTACGCTGCTATGCTTCAGCCTGACATTGCACGTGTTGACGAAATTCCTATAATATGGAACTGTTCGACTGGGTTCAGTCGACGTTTGGAACCCAGCGGACACTAGATAACTTTTTTAAAGTTACGCAACTTAATTCTTTAATGCAGCGGTGGACAATGTTTGCTTAAATAAATGGATATTATTCATCCTTGATCGTTTCTGCGTGGATTATCGGCCGTTCTATAGGATGCGGGGGAGGGGGGTGTAAAAAGTACACGTGCGTACAGGAAGGGGGGGATCAAGTTGACAGATTTTTGCGTACGTATTCTTGGATCTTTCGGTAAAGTCACGTAGACAGGTTTAAAGAAAATAACAAAAAAAAACTACGACGTTTCGATCACAACACAAGCGGTCGTCTTCAGAAAAAGGGGGGTAAGCTTCCAAGGCAAACTGTTTATAAGGGTTTGAAATGGGCGTAGCCCAAATGTCAGCAGCCAATGATAACGTAAGAGGTGGGCAGCCAACTCGACAGTGGTTGGTTTTCCACCAATCAAAGGGCTGCCAGGTGAAACGTAGCATGTTAATGAGATATTAGCATGGTGATCGCAGAGCCGTAACAAAGTGATCGGCGCGCGAAGTGGCTGTGTGAGTGTGAACCCTTGCGTACGTACTAAATGGATGGCCCCATATAGCGTGCATGAGAAATATACCAGATCAGTATTCAACAACAAGCCAGCATCTATGATGAGCGCATAACAATATCCGAACAGCCACCACTGAAAGGTCACACGTCACCAACACACACATCAGTATGCCACACCACACAACGCTACAGCACATCACATTCGCACACAATATCATGCCAACATATAACCACAGCGACATGTAACACCGCACCAACACACCATATACCAAGGTGTCACAGCAACATGGGCGGTTAGGGTGGAATAGGGGGTAGGTAATGCACGGCTCGTCACGATTTCACTCATTCTGCCTACAAATCGGTGAGAAGGAACACCACCTCGGGTGTTTTTCGCATCGCAATCGGATCACCCGTCAACAACTCACGTTGACCGCCGAGTGCGCAGCTTTTACAACTGTGCACGTGAAAGTTAATTTGCAATCGTATCGACCAACGTCCATAAACTTTTGAGGCAGACAGGTGGGTGCGCAGGGCTATTTGCGGGCCCTGAACATAAACAAACATTCACCAACATCTAGCGAGTGCGTCAGGCCTCGGCACTTCGCCCCCCATGTCTAATTACAAGCGCAGCGCACGCACGTGGCTTCTTGTAAAAGTGGCCCACATTCAGTTCACTTACAACGAGCAGCCCTTATTTCTAGCCCAGATGCGATTATCAACGCACGCGTATGGAGGCCCTCGTCCAGAAGTGGATTGATGAAAGGCGCGTACATTAGTTTACTTACAGCCAGGAGTCTCCTATACCAGGTCTTAACACAGTGCATCAATAACACTGACCAATGTCCCGCCTACAATTACAAATAGACGCGTGTTGAGGCCTTCATCCACCAGTGGTCTGATCAAGGGTTATACGTGACAATTAACTTTTTAAAACTCTCATTGAAATTTCAACTCTCGTTACCCAAAGAGTTCACTCGTGACTCATAGCACAGAGTTAAGTTGACATCACGCTGGCAAAGTTCGCTAATCGCGAGCGCAGCTACATCACAGCTCGAACTAACTAGTCCACCGATGGCTCGTGGGCTCTTAGCCCAGATATAAAATTGGACAAAGTGAAGCAAACCTCTCAAGGGAGTCAAACGCAACCCCCGGGCTAGAGTTAAACACAGCGCTCGTAAAATAGTCAAACACAGGGCCTAAGTCTGCTAGCGTTTGCGACGGCGCAACGCGACCGACTGCCTGATAAATTTACGTGGAGCACCCGTTAAATGCACGGATTTAAAAATAAAATAAAAAGCGCAACCTGCTGCTACGTGATGAGAGGCAACTGTTCGCTCATCAACACGCGGCTGTCAGAGAGAGGCCGCTTCGTTAAAATCAAACCGCCGCGCGAATGAATGGAATCCCCGGGTATCCATCTATCTCCAAGACCCGCCCCCCTCCGTCGCTAAACCAGCAACCACTGCCAATTAACCTGCTAAGTACACTTAGCGACTTAGTCACCACTAGCAGCAGCGACACGAGCGACGCTGGGTAATTAACGCTTGAACTCCCCTACCCCCCTCCACGAGCTTAAAATCCCGCTCGTTGTGGCGACTCCAAACGCCAGGGAAACAAAAAGCGCGGGGGCCGTGGCGCTGCTTCGGACAACAACAAAAAAACCAAGCAAAAACCCCGCGAAGTCCCCTTTCAACTCCGAAAGGAAGGAGGCGAAGGGACGATATGGGCCACGCGAGTCTGCCGGGCCATCGCGAAGACGAATCGAACCTCGCGAGCTTCATGATGCCGACGGATGGAGGCAGCGGGGCCCGAGATGGCTGGAGATTGACGCTAGGATAGAGCGGGGCCCTGGCGGGAAGGGCCGCGGTAGGTGGAGGGAGTGGCGGATGTGACGTCACTGGGGTCGGTGATAGAAGATTTGTACTTCCGGGACAGGATGGTTACCACGGAAATTTTTAGTGGCAATAAAAAATATTTTAAAAAACGAGAAATGGGACCTCTTTTTTATGCCAGTATCAAAGTATGAAAAAAATAGGTTTTACCATTTCTTGGTGATAAAACAGGTGTCGGTTGGCGTTTGAACATGTATTTAAAAAAACAGATATAGAAATGTTCAAACACTAAATATTTGGTGTTTGAACATTTATTTGTTTTATTACCAGAAAGGGTCAAACTTATTATTTTGTCATAAAACTGGAAATGTTTTACAGTTCCTGTTTAACACGGTAGTAGGCTTTCACGACCAATGCCATCCATTGATCAGGTTTTTTTTTGGGTTCGATCTCGTAAATATATTAAAATGTGTCGTTAAACCCGCCACCACCCGACACAGCCATCTAGTAAGGGTCGTCACGTAAACAGAACGTGGCCAATTCGTCATTAGCACAGCACACCGGTGTGTTGGAGAGCAAACCCACAACATTTTCAATCTGAGTACGACGTTTCGCCAATAATTACAACCGGCATCATCAGGCGGCAGCCAGAGTTCTGAATCTTTACGTGACGCACCTCACGAATTGGCCGTGTCGGGTGGTGGCGGGTTTAACCACACATTTATATTTACGCGATCGAAACATGTATTGGTGTGGAAGCTGTAAACATTTGTGAAGAAGCAGTCGCTCGATTAAATATATTTTTGTTAAGTTTCGGTGAGAAGTTTTGTAAACGTTAACTCGGGCCTAAATTCGAGATTTAGTGTAAAACAATATCCACGTTTAATGAAATAACGTGCACATTTAACACTCCCTGCAATTTAAACATGTTTAGCAAAAAGATATCCACAATCACCACCTCAATGGAAGCCTATATGGGTCTTTGTCAGCTAATGAGTCAATTTGTAGTCAATGGGTCTCTGTGAGTCTATTGTTCTATGTGTGAGCCTGGGTCACTGTGTGAGTCTGTGGGTCACTGTGAATCAATGAATGAAGTTTGAATGAAGTAAAACAAAATCCACAAAAGTTAAATATAGATTTTGTAAAAATATCAATATTTAGCGAAATAATTTTTTTTGTGAAAATGAGGTGTATACAGATTTATCGACAAACTTTCAAACTTTGAGGGGGAAATCCCTCGGCAAAAAAAGTATCCACGTTCTGACAAAATACATTTCTTTATGCTGACAAAACAAATGGAATAATATGAATAATACTTCCGCATAGTAAAATAAAATTCGGAATTTTGTGAAAACCACTGCTATTTAAAAGCATAAATGAACTCAACACATTAATCAATAACACTGTGGCCTTAAAATAATAAAAATATATATAATAGACGACGTTTCGGGCAATGGCCCTGCATGGCACGTAATTAGAGAGGTCAGAGAGACAGAGTGGATATTTGGAGTTGCAGACTGCCCATGTTTACACCAAAAGGCTTGATGAGAATTACATTTTTAAAAATATGTTGACATGTGACGCTACATTATTCTCAGATATTGACTGACAGACAAACCTTTCAATAATCACAAAGAATTTACTCAAAAATAAACAAATGTACATTAGATGTGAAATCTTCAAATGTTTCTGACACATTGCATTGTGGGAAGATTTGTTCTAATGAGAGCAAGTCACGAGTCACTTAACAATGCATCCCTGGGCCCAAATCACAGTTCCAGGAAGATTAATCTGAGAAGTGAAATGTTAAAAGTACACGGACTGCATATGAATCTAAAATGAATAACCTTAAATTAGTTTTTACTTCTAACACACTAAAATAGGCAAGCGATGATAACTTCAATCAGCCAGACCCAGCGATCAACGTAGTTTTGCAACATTAACTTCCAGCTGGGTGCAAAAAACGTGAGAGAAAATCTCTCTGCTGCGAAGATTCACCTCTAAAACAAACAAACATCGATTTAATTATCAACGCCACATTTCCCAGGTAATTATTTCACGCTGCATGCCTCTGTCTAGAAACACCTGATGTGCCAACACTAGCCATCAACAAGTACGGCATGCTCCGTGATGCTGTGTCGGTTCATGGGGAGCGGTGGTGCAGCGGTTAGCGCTACGCTGTGCTACGAACCCGGCGAACCGAGTTCGATTCCCGCTCACGGCCAACACCCAGTGACGATTATCTGAAACGGTCCTGGGCCTCCCCTAGGTCGACTCAGCCTCAAATTAGTACCCGGTGCGGTGTGTAAACATCGCCACTTGAGAGACAAAGGCGGTCGGACGTAGCGCTGGCCACCCACCACCCCCTCGTGTAGCGTTCGGGACTTCATAGGTGCTGGCAAACAGCACTTGCCCCCAATGGTCTGTGAAGACCACACAGGGGATCTCTGTCTTGTTGTTGTGTGGGTTTATATGCCAAGTCACTGCATGCCCAAGTAGCCTCTGTTTGGCCAGATAGAGGGGGGCTTAATAGGCTGATTGGGCTGAGTGGCCGGTACCAGCGGTGTCAAGATGGGCCTCTGCGAAGGAGGCTCGTGAAGGATGCTGCTGCTGGGCAGTTGGAATCAGTCGCCCTCCAACAACTTCGGAGTGAAGAGGAACTACGCTCACAACAACGAGCGGAGCGCCAGGCGCCTAAAACGCAGCAAGTTGCCCACAGTGGGGAGCACAGCTGGTGCATCTGCCAGCCATCTCGTGGGTCAGTCAACCCATGGCACCTGGGTCTGTCCTCTGAAAACTTGCCGACGATCCTTCCACGCTTCACGGTAGCCTCAGGGTGCATCTAGCCTGGGACAAGCGATGCGGTGATGTCACCGCCACGCAGCGGTTAACGTCGATTTTGTTGTTGATGTTGTGTGTAAAGTTTAGTGCCAATGGCTGTCAAATTAACAACCAGTGGGACTTGAGGACGGGAAATGGCAGACCAGTCATGAGTGTACATGTAGCAAATACTCAGAGCAATCGTAACTTTCACTGCCTTAAAAAAATAGAATGGTCCAATAATTATAATTAATCAAAGGAACGTTGAGCCAACGTTGTTGATCCAACGGTTTCCAACCATATGCCAACGTTGGCTCAACGCTGACATGTTTACTGGGAGGTGACGTTTCGGGCAATGGCCCTTCTTCAGAGCACATCGATGTAGCCTCATATACAGGGTGCTTAATATTTTTTAAACAATTATGTTGTGTTGTCTCTGCGCAAGCCAGCGTGTGTGTTATTATTGGACGCCACAGTGACGAGATGTTAACTACCTCACCTGGTATGCAGGAGGTCGTGCGCTCGACCCTGACGCCTGCTGCTGCTGTATATTTGGAGTTTGCGTGTCTCTCTCCCCGTGGTCGCGTGGATTTTTCTCCGGGTCCTCGAGGTTTTCCCTTCCACATTTAGAATCAACATCACGCATTCAGAGTATATGACTGCTATCAATGTCCACGTGATGATGATGATGACAGGCCACTTCGTCGAGCTATCATTTGTGGCCAAGTCGCTTCCGAAAAAAAGAGCTACAGCGCTCAGTGGTAACGAAAAAACGAAAATATCGTTATAATTTATTAATGTATTGTTTCGTGGCAATAAAACAGTGGCGGCTGGCGGGGCTGCTCGCCCCTTGTTGCGAGTATAAAACACGCGTTCAATTGAGGCCAGGGGACCGAGCGGGCGGGTGATGTTTACTGCGTTTCGTCAGTCGCGGCCTCGTTAATAGACGCAAGGGAGGGGAGAGGAGGGGAGGGTGAAGTCCTCGCTTGATTCACGGCTTTAATCAAGGGGCGCGCGCGATTCCGCGGGAGCGGCCACACTCCCCACCATGGACAGCAGCGAGGGGCAGGAAACCTCTCCAGCGAATCCTCGCGGTCCTTCTGCGATGACTGTCATGCCGGGCCAACCCCTCCCCCACCCACCCCCAAGAACGTGTTTCAAAACAGATGAAGAACCGATTCAAAGCTTTCGTGACCGCAAGGATTCATCTTCTTTGGTTCTTTCGGTAAAGTCACGTAGAATGAGAATAAAATAATAAAATAAAATAACAATAAAATTCTCACGACGTTTCGGCCACAACACAAGTGGCCGAAACGTCGTGAGAATTTTATTGTGTTATTTTATTATTTTATTCTCATTTTACGTGACTTTACCGAAAGAACCAAAGAAGATGAAGAACCCTCATCACGTCGTCATCGCCATTATTATCATGAGCAGCGGCTGCAGATGCAGATGCCGATTAATCTTATTTGGTTCCTTCGGTAAAGTCACGTAGAATGAGAATAAAATAATAAAAATAAAATAACACAATAAAATTCTCACCACGTTTCTTTACCGAAAGAACCAAAGAAGATGAATCCTTGCAGTCACGAAAGGTTTAAATCGAAATTTAAATGCCGATTAATATTAATAATTAGCATCAAGTAATACGAGCAGCTAAATGATGATGATGATGATCAATCGGCAGCAGTAACTGATACCCATCAGCAGTAGGAGCAGCAGAAGTGGCTGCAGCAGCTAAATGATGATCATAGTCATCATCAGCAACAGAAGCAGCAGCTGAATTATCGGCAGAAGGAACAGCTGGATCACCATGATTATTATCATCAGCAGTCGAATAAAAAGTATAATCAGTTTCAGCAGAATCATCATCGCAAAAGCTTGCCTAATGGTCCTTATAATCACCAAAGCTTAATCATCATCAATAGCGTAATCACCAAAATCATAACAGCATAATCACCATCATCTTGCAGAAGCTGAATTATTATCATCAACATCACCATTGCCACGGTATGACCCTTCCTGCCTTTCAATTTCGCTGTCATTCAGAAGGGGATTTTAGATTGCCATATGGGTCGTATAACCGTGGGTACTTATAGTGCTGTGTATAAGACCCTTAGCTATAATGCACAACGCGAACACCTGCCAAATGTACGAGCCATGCCCACCGAAACACAACAACATCATTTAAATATGTGCCAGCCAGGTGGCTCAGGGGAGCTCATCACGTGTCGAACAAACTGGAGCCATCTGAGAGCATTGGGATC